TTATTATTCCTTCTAGTTACCTCAAGCAAGCACACACACACACATGGACATACACACCTACACACATGTGCACACACCAATACACAACGTGCATACCCTGTCCACCCTCAACCCTTCAACCAAACAAGCAGGCACGCAAACGCCAGTGTCAAAAGTGCCACATGGGGGTGGCCTGTCGCCGAATGCGTCGCATTCTCGCGCGCATCTCCCGCGTTGGGCGTAGGCGGCGACGTTGTAACTGCTCCACCACCATACGAAACAAGTCGAGATCACGGTGTTGTTCTGCGGCCGCAAGAACCGCCCCCAGCACCTCCGTCATCATCACCGCTGCTGATGGCGATGGTGTTGTAGCCGACGTTGCTGCTGTGGCTGCTGTTGCTGCTGTGGCTGCTGTCAGCGTGCTTCCTCCTCCTCGTCCTCCTCCACCTCCACCTCTTCCACCACCACCACCACCACCATCATCTCCACGTCTACCACCACCTCCTCCTCCATCATCATCATCATGTGTGCATGTGAGCGACAACTGCGACGCAGCAGCAAACAGATCGCGTGCAAACTCGCGCGAGCACGAGAGCAGCACCACATCAGGGCTCTGCACTCTCCTTTGGCGACCATCCTCATACTCATCATCATCGTCGTCGTCATAGTCGTGCCAGGGAAGGCGACGCTGTTGAAATGGGTCATCGCCATCACCACCACCACCATCATCATCACCATCATCACCACCATCACCACCACTATCACCACCGCTATCACGACCACTGTGAACACCACCTCCACCACCATCACCACCACCATCATCACCATCACCATCACCATCACCACCACGCACATGTCTCAGCACGTGGGCGAGGGTGGACGCTGTGGTTGTAGTTGCGAGGGCGTGCAGTGCCTGCAAGCAACAGTGCTCACACTGCTGTTGTGTCATGTGCACCAACGACAGCGCTGCGGCCTCAACACGCTGCATGCTCGGGAACGTATCGTGCATGTGCACAAGGCTGTCTTTCAGTGATGACCATGATGTTGCTACTGTTGCCGTTGTCGTTGCTGCTGGTGCTGATGGTGCTGGCGTTGTCCTGGTTGAGACATGTGCTGTGTCAAGTGTGTGATAGCACATGGTGAACAGCAAGTGGTGACACAGCCGTTGCACGCGCATCTCGGTCGCACACGCTGCAGTAGTTGCTGCTACCGCTGTTCCAGGCTCCATCGTCTCTCGTATTGTTGTTGTTGTTGCTCGCGTACATGCGCTGCCTTGTTGCCTGCAAGCACGAGCGCGCGAAGCCAGATGAGAAGCAGGAAGAAGCTCCATCAGCGTGACTGGCGCTGGGGATGCCGTGGCATCTGACATCCACGACGACAGCGCCAAGAAGGGTGACAATGGTGCTGAATGCGAATAGGAATGCGAATGCGAATGCGAATGGGAGGGGGAGTGGGAGTGGGAGTTTGGCCGATAGGATAGCCCTTTCGCCATTCTTGCATCATCACCCATGCTCCTGCTGCTGCTGACACTGCTGTTGCTGTTGCTGTTGCTGTTGTTGTTGTTGTTCAACAGGTGACTATTACTCCTCCTTCTCCTCTGCCTCGTCATCATCACCCGCATCGCCGCGTTGGTGCTGGTGATGTGAATCGGTGACACCGCCCACTCAATTGCACGCACGACATCAACACAGCGCTCGCCCACACGTGTCCACGGCAGTGCCCGGTGGTTGGTGTCGGTGGTGGTGGTGGTGCTGCTGCTGTTGTGTTCGTTGCTGCTGCTGCTGCTGCTGTTGCTGAAGCTGCTGCTGTTGTGTTCGTTGCTGCTGCTGCTGTTGCTGTTGCTGAAGCTGTTGTTGCTGTGACTGCGACTGACACCATCGCTGTGCGCGTTGCTGTCACCACGCCCCCCGTCACCACCACGCGCGGGCTCGGCGTTGAGATTTGCCAGAACATCAACAGTCGCCAGGAGCTCATGAAGGGCGATGCCAAAGCGATGATGGTGGTACGCGCATGCGAGCGCATCCAACACATCTCGTCGTCCCTCAAACGCAAACACGCGTTGGCGTTGTTGTTGTTGTTGTTGTTGTTGTTGTTGTTGTTGTTGTTGTTGTTGTTGTTGTTGTTGTTGTTGTTGTTGTTGTTGTTGTTGTTGTTGTTGTTGTTGTTGTTGTTGTTGTTGTTGTTGTTGTTGTTGTTGTTGTTGTTGTTGTATCTTCTGTTCGCTGCCCAAACGACTGGCATCAGCATTGGTCAAATGGGGTGTGTCCATGACGATGAGACTTGCCAATTCGGGAAGAAGGAGCGGAGGTGGAAACAGGTTCCGGCTGGACATGCGTGCAAGCACGTGACACACAGACGCCGTTGCCCGTGCAACCTGTTCAGACAGCCACGACGACGACGATGATGGTGGTGACGACGCGTGCTCGTGGTGGCATTGGACGTGTGCAGGCGTTGCTGGCACCACATGTACTCGGGCGTCATCATAATACCAGTGCTCTTGTAGCTGTTGTTGGTGCTCTTGTAGCTGTTTGTGAAGGTCATGTTCACGGTGCTGTCGTTCCTTATGTGGCTGTTGCCGTTCCTGCTGCTGCTGCTGTTGGTGCCGCTGTTGCTGCTGGTGCTGCTGTTCTTGTTGTTGCTGGTGGTGTGCGCGTGCGTATGCGCGTGCAAGGTGTGCCATGTCCTGTGCTGTTGGTTTGAAGTTGGCGGCAAACAGTGCGCTCAGCGCCGCCTCTGCCCGAGTCGTCTGCCCACCGCGTGCAAACGCAACAAGCAGGCTGCTGTACGTGTGGGCGGTACCCCGAATGCCCCGTGCCTGCATGCACGACACCACCCACTCCACCCGCTCAGCTGGCCGCGTGTGTGCAAACGCCCGCACAGCAGCGTTGAAGAAAAACGCATCCAGCGAAGCAGCAGCAGCAGCAGCGGTGGTGGTTGTCGTGGGGGTGGTGGTCGTGGTGGTGGCAGCTGGTGATAGCGATGATGGTGATGGTGGCTGCTGGTGGGCTTGTGATGCTGCATGTGCCAGGGTTGTCGTTGCTGGTGCTGTGGGTAGTGTTGGTGGCAATGTTGGTGTTCCAAACAAGGCGAGGCTGAAGATGCACTCTGCCACATCGCCAAGTGACCTGCACCCCCACGGCAGTTCACCAACTCCTGCACCATGTGCTGCTTGCATGCAACACGTGCCACCCACCACCTCGTCCTGCACCGTGCGTCGCGCGTGTGTCTCCACCAGCTGCAGCAGCTGCGTGTATGTGCGGGCTGTTGGCGTCGCGTCTTCCCCGACATCACGTTCCAACCCAGACGCTCTGCCTCCCCTCCCTCTCGTGTGTCGACCACCACCATTACTCCCACCACCATCACTGCTGTTGTCGCACTCACTGCTGCCACGGTCACCTGTGCTGTGCCTTCTCTCGCACTGTCGCCCATCTTGGGATGCTTGTTCCAGTTGTGGCCCGCTCTGCATGAAGACAAATGCCTGCAGCGCATCCGATATGCTGTGCTTCCCGGCAGCGGTGATGAGGGCATTGTACACGTGCACATCAGGCCGCACCCCATACACGAGCGGCATGTCGTTGGTGATGAGGCCGCGGATGGCTTCGGTGTTGCCCTGGCGCGCATACATGCTCGCAATGGCGCGGAAGGTGAACTTGTCGGGTCGCATGCCTTCCTCCTGCGCTGCCATCATCTGCGCCATGTGCTCTTTGATCGCCGCTTCGTTGTTGCGCTTGGCATATGCCGTGATGAGGATGTTGTGTGTGGCCAGCGTGGGTATGATCCCATACGCATGCTCCATTTCGTGCATGATGGCCCTGACACGGTCGGCATCACCACGGCGAGCGTACAGCCCAGCCACCACGTTCCAGTGGCGCGCATCAACCACAGCCGAGTGGTGCTTGTCGCTGTTGGCCACAGTGATGGCCGGAGTCGTGCCGGCCTTCGTCCTGCTACTTGTCCTGCTGCTGGCAGTGATGCAGTGACCACTATAGTCGCTGTGTCTGCTGTCGCAGTGTGTCAGGTCCACGCGCGCCAGCTCTCGAAGGCGCTCCAGGCGGCGATCCGGTGACAACCTGCTCTCCCGCAGCTGGCGCAGATGGTGTGCTGCTTGCTGCTGCGCCAGTGTGGCGTGCGCGCGACAATGAATGTGTAGCGCGGGCAGAGGTGACCGCGGTGCTCGCACCGTTGGCACTGGTAGTCTCAGTGCTCGTTCAACTGCTGACGAGCGTGTTGGTGGTGAGCGTGTTGATGGCGCTGTGCATCGATGGCGAATGCCGTGCCGCTGGCGCTGTTGGCGGATATGTTGAGTGGTGTGCTGCTGCTGTTGTGCAAACGTCGTCGCCGTCGTGGTCGTCGCTGTCGTGTGCGTCTTTGCTGCCCTTCTCCACGCCAGCACCACTGGCCGCAGCCAGGAAGACGTCGGTGTAGCGGCAGCAACAGCGGCTGCAGCATTCACGATGCTGCGACTGCACTCTTGGGCGCATCGCGCACGCGAAGTGTGCATCATCGTTGTCAATGATCTAAACACGTGGTTTGTCGTTTATGCCGGTCTTGTTGTTGCACAAACAACAAACGAACGGCAGCGTGTGGTGATTGACGTGTTGTTTGTTGCGTGTGTTTATTGGGGAAAACTCGCTGAAATCTTACACTGCTCCCGGCGCTCAAAGATGGGGAAGGCAATTGCGGCAAAACAAAGGGCAACGGTGCGCATGGGTGAATGTGTGTGAGAGCACGCGCCTCATAGACAGAAAGAAAAGTGAATCAATAGATAGATAGAAACCAAGTGCCTCGGTGCGAGGCTCATGTGTAGTGCTGCGACTGTCGCTTAGACAGTTGCAGGGGGCTCTGTTGCGGCCGGGCCACCGGGGCTTCGTGAGGTTGTTTGTTTGTGTGTGTGTGTGTGTGTGTGTGTGTGTTGTTTGTGTGTGTGCGTGCGTGTGTGTGTGTGTGTGTGTGTGTGTGTGTGTGTGTGATGTGTGTGTGTGTGTGTGTGTGTGTGTGTGTGTGTGTGTGTGTGTGTGTGT